CTGCTGCTACGGTGAAGAGGAGGAGACACACACACACACACACGCAGTCACCTTCAGCTCACTGTCTTTGTCAACACTAGAGGACGGATCGTTTGCAAATTTACACTGAAAAGTGAAGGTCTTTCGAACAAACATTCGGACTGTGTTCGAAAGCCTTGGCGACTTTTGCTGAAATTATGCCCTTTTGAGTTTTTGCATGAAAGCACGCATTAGCAATAAACTATGCCATTTGTAGTGAAAAACAAAGTGACTTGTTTGCCCCCATTATACACTCACCAAAAGGATTATTAGGAACACCATACTAATACTGTGTTTGACACCCTTTCGCCTTCAGAACTGAAAGCATTCTTTAGAGATGTTGGCCCATATTGATAGGATAGCATCTTGCAGTTGATGGAGATTTGTGGGATGCACGTTCCACCACATCCCAAAGATGCTCTATTGGGTTGAGATCTGGTGACTGTGGCGGCCATTTTAGTACAGTCAACTCATTGACATGTTCAAGAAACCAATTTGACATGATTCCAGCTTTGAGACATGGTGCATTATCCTGCTGGAAGTAGCCATCAGAGGATGGGGACATGGTGGCCATAAAGGGATGGACATGGTCAGAAACAATGCTCAGGTAGGCCGTGGCATTTAAACGATGCCCAATTGGCACTAAGGGGCCTAAAGTTTGCCAAGAAAACATCCCCCACACCATTACACCACCACCACCAGCCTGCACAGTGGGAACAAGGCATGATGGATCCATGTTCTCATTCTGTTTACGCCAAATTCTGACTCTACCATCTGAACGTCTCAACAGAAATCGAGACTCATCAGACCCGGCAACATTTTCCAGTCTTCAACTGTCCAGTTTTGGTGAGCTCTTGCAAATTGTCGCCTCTTTTTCCTATTTGTAGTGGAGATGAATGGTACCCGGTGGGGTCTTCTTCTGTTGTAGCCCCTCCGCCTCAAGGTTGTGTGTGTTGTGTCTTCTTCACAAATGCTTTGCTGCATACCTCGGTTGTAACGAGTGGTTATTTCAGTCAAAGTTGCTCTTCTATCAGCTTGAATCAGTCGGCTCATTCTTCTCTGACCTCTCGCATCAATGAGGCATTTTCGCCCACAGGACTGCCGCATACTGGATGTTTTTCACTGTTCACACCATTCTTTGTAAACCCTAGAAAAGGCTGTGCGTGAAAATCCCAGTAACTGAGCAGATTGTGAAATACTCAGACACCAACAACCATGCCATGCTCAAAATTGTTAAATCCCCTTTCTTTCCCATTCTGACATTCAGTTTGGAGTTCAGGAGATTGTCTTGACCAGGACCACACCCCTAAATGCATTGAAGCAACTGCCACGTGATTGGTTGATTAGATAATTGCATTCATGAGAAATTGAACAGGTGTTCCTAATAATCCTTTAGGTGAGTGAGTTCCTCCTACGTTTACGCAGCCAAGAGCTCGTTTCTGTCGTATATGTATTTCAACTGCAGATGTTGGGGCTGAAACAGCACATTTTAACCAGCGTCTGGCCCTTTTTTCCACCTCCTCGTGTTTTATAGATTCAGTCTCTCTTTCATTCTCATAATCTTGCTCTGAATGTGTCAATAGGAAGACTTAGCTATTGTTTGAGCCCCATCGAGGCCATTAGCCTAGCACTCCCAAACAGCTAAATTACCCCCTTTCTCTTCTCGTCTCATCCCTATTTTTATAGTAATAACACAGAGAATTGTCCCCTCTTTTCTTCCGCTCTATGTCGTCCTCCACTTTGAGAAAGGAGCGATTGAGAAGCTAGAAAGATGAACTGTGAGAGACGGGGGTTTGGGGAGGAGGGAAATTGGAAGCGCCCTTGGTGCAATACAATAAAAACATCCTGTAATTTGCAGTGACTCCCTGCTCTTCTCTCTATCAAATCACACACGCTCACTCGCTCCTTTATCACTCTTTCCCTCCCTCTGTGTCACAGAAAGGATTACCGATGTCTGCGAACCCATTTCAGAAATCACAGCAAATGGAAAAAGGTTATATACAATAAAACAAAAAGGTATTTTAAAGAACGTGTGCACTTTTATAGACGTTATGAAACAGTAGTCTCGTATTTACTAAAAGCACATGTAAAACAAGAGTTAAATGTGAAAGGTGATCTTCAATAACCTCACAATTAAATGGTGCATATTAGTACCATAACCTCTATGGCATTCAGAGATTTGTTTGGACATGCATTGAAATAAGCGAATGATCATTTACATTCTATTAGATGTTTACATGAGAAATATTAATACCTGATTTATAGAAACTATAAAATTGGCATCGATCAGTCTAACGCATTACAGTTAAGTAACTCAAGTTACATAATAGCAACACATCACTTTTTGAAATAAGTAAAACACATTCAGTTTTCCGCGAACTGTATCGAAACAGTAAATTGCAAACTTTAACAAATATACTTTATGTATTTAATCTCACTTTATTAAATGTGCATTTCCTTCAGCCTGAGGCTTATTCCTTTCACTGAAGGTGCAAAAGGGCCTCAACATTTGCCCAAAAATAGAAATATTTTTGCTGTTAAAAGCAAATAAGTTAAAAATGAACACTAAAGCAACACATATTGTCCAGTTTACGTAATCATATTATTGGTGATCAAGGCTGTGCATGTAATATCTGTTATCAATGAGCAATGCTTAGCACTATGTTCTATTGCAATTAACATTTTGTTAGCTAGTTAGTAATCTTATTATTAAGTCATGTGACACAGCAAGAACCAGTACAATTTACATTTGAAGCACACTTGTGCACATGTTTCTGCATGCAGTCAATGGGCTGAGCCAGATTCAATCTAATAATGACCGGACATACCAGTATAGTTGTGTCACACAGTCCTGAAACTGAATTATCTCGGTTTAGAGAAAGTACAAACATGAGGTAAAATATGAGAGCGATATATGAAAGAAACCTAATGACACAAGAGTTATAGGCTTAAATATGCTGAAGACCAAACATTCCTGACTGTCCCACATTAGCAATGAGAGCAAGCACAGGCTTTGATCGCTATCTTAGATGCTTGAGGAAATGAGCTTCGTATTAAAATCCTACACGACACACGACACGAGCCCAAAGCACAGCACGCTGTGAAAACAAACACACAAATCCCCCGCGCGCGCGCGCGCACACGCAGAAACATCTGAGCACTCTGCACTCGACAGGAAATTAAAAACCTTATAAAATTACCCGTAAAACCATAGAGGCTCCGAAATGAGAAAATAATCACTGAATAATCACAGCGTTTTAAAGTGGACCGATGACGATCCCTCTCAGTCGAGTGAAAACTCGTCCAGCGTGCACGCGCACTCCACAGCCCTTTCCAAAATGATTTGCAAATAAATGTCATCACCTTTGCAAATCAAGGTCAATCATTCAAACACGCAGGGTAATCATTTTAATGAAAAGAGACTATTAAGAAAAAAACATAATTAGGAAGCCTTCAAAAGCATAGAATATCACATCGTGTTTCGTCTTGAATTATAAAGTTGTGTAGTAGCTTATTAATGACTAGTGCACTTGGAATAATTAAGGCTAGTCTTATTAAAATAATTGAACTACTCTGTATGAAGCTGGTAATATGCCTACTTGAAACGCTCTGTGGGTGATATGGGCTACATGTTCAGAATATTAATGATTTGTTAATTATCACCGTTTAAAATGCATTCAGTGAATAATTCACACACATGGCAGCAACCCATCTGATGTTATTTCTTAAAAAAGAGAATAGAACTACAACATTGGACTGGTTTTACAGGTTATTTATAAGAGTGATAACGCCCCCTGGTGGCCAGTAAGCCTGTCACATCCACTGCCATCCGCCACGATACGCGTGAACAGACAATAATGGTGAAAACAATTATTAATAAATTGTGTTCAATAAATTAATTTATTTATTAGTTGATGAATTCAGAATGCAGTTTCAAAACCAGAGACAACTGCAAACAAATTCTGTAGACTTTTTTAATTAGCATGGCAAGGTGAATTAAGTGGATAAGCATCTCAACCTTGAAGTGTTTTTTTTTTTCCCAATGCTATATAAAATTTCATTCATAATTTGTTATATGATGTGTAGACATATTGTGCATATTTTCTTGGGGCCAGTAGAGGCTTATTTGAAGAATTATTTATTTGCAATGCTATCCTTGTATTAACATAAATAATGCATATTTTATAATAAAATATAACGGTAAGCCATGAATAATGACTCACGTGTAAATACATCCTATAAAGGAACTACTAATACTCTGGATCAGTATTGTAAAGTGAAAAACATGACAACTCCCTAATATTGACTTAAGTCATTGTAAGCTTTTGAGTTTTTTATAAGGTTTTGAATAGTAGTAAAGGTAATATTAGTGACTTTGAATTAGTCATTAGACCTGTGTGTTCCCATGATCATGATCCAAATAACTAGTTCCTTTAGAAAGATGTAGTAACCTAACACTTGAATCATTACTATCCAAAACTTTACAAAAACCTCAATGACTTCAGTCAATACTGACAAAACTGATCTAAATTAGTATTAGTAATTCCTTTAGAAGGATGTAGTAACACTCGATTCATTACTAATGGGTTACTGTTACCTTATATTATGCATTATTAATATTAACTATGAACCTGTAGTCTTCAGTGAGGTATGAAAAATAGTTCCTGAATCCTGATTAGCTAATCAGCTAACAGTTAGCTGATTAGCTACCACATTCAACTGAGCGCAGTTCTTTAATCAGTGTTAGTTAATGTTAGTTATTAGAATGTTAATAGTGTGTTACGCATTTGTTCCTCTGTAGTTATTCATTAGCACACTGTATAGGCCCAGTGTGATGTTCCTGCACTGAGTATTTATAGCTGTACCCGTGTGGGACAGAGTCTGTCTGTGTGTGTGTGTGTGTGCAATGCGCTTCTGGATCTGTTACTGACCAGGGAACTAAATATAGTCTGGCTCGGACAACAACATGTGAATCTCAGAGACATCTGCTCACACTGGAGATTCTCCAGTTGTGACTGTCCTTCGGTCAGCTGTTAACTAATCCTAACGACACTGTTTAGTTACGGCACTGTTTAGTCCACGTCTGTGCAACTAAGGTGAGTCGCTGCAGTGTGTGTGTGAATGTCAGATTTACTTGAATCAGCAATGCAACAAACTGGACGTTTAAATAAAAGGCTTCTGCTGATGGTCTACAGCTTTTTGCTACACTGTTAGACCTTACCAGGTTTTTTACAGTAAAATATTAACTTATTATTATTATTAAACTTATTAGTTTTAGTGCATTTTTTCAACACTGTTGCCAGTAATTTACTGTAAAAATGCACTAAAACTAATAAGTTGTATTTTGTAGTTAACTTGAGTTTTAGTGCATTTTTACAGTAAATTACTGGCAACAGTGTTGCCAGTATTTTACTGTAAAAAAACTGGTAAGGTCTAACAGTGTAGGTTAAGATGTTTAATTTCTTGAATGTTAGGCCTGTTTATCGAGAGGTCAAATGCAACAAGGGTTGCAACAATTAAGGGATTTTAAAAAATCTAGTTTAAAATACACTTGCTAAGTTCTTAGAAATGTAGTCTTTGTATTCATGTTGGCTTTGGAAAAAATTACTTTGAAAGGATCAAACTTTAATGACTGTAAAATAGTTTAAAGTAAAAAATAATTATTTTTAGACACTTTAGATCTGCAAAACTTCTTTAAGACTTCAAAAATATATTTGTTTACACTAATAGTGCATACACATCTCATTCTTTAAAAAAAGAACATTTTTAAATATCATTTTCAATATAATTTAATATCATGAATTAATAACCTGTAATTATCATTATCTTTACACCACAATTATCATTACACCACAATTTTACAACCTAAACTAACATTCTAAAATATATATATATATTAAAATAATTCCTGAGCTTTATAAACAGTAATTTTGTAAATTCATGGTCTGCATGAGTACTCTCTGTGATGTCATTTCCTGTTGTTTTTCCTGTTTATTCAAAAAGAATAATCTGTGATTCTGAATGCCAGTATCCACACCGGCGGCAACTGACACACACACTCTCCTCAAACATTGTGAAGCACAACCCACGTAAAGTTGATAATTCTGTGAATGACTGCAATTGCAGATTTTGAACAGAGATGGCGACAAACAGGAAAAACTGCGGACTGCAGCTTTAAATAATAAAGAGTTAAAGTGATAGTTCTCTTTGAAATTAATTTTTGATATGTTTTATCTTACCTCAAGGGCATCCAAATTGTAGGTGTCTTTGTTTCCACAGTATTTTCAATTTTGATATTTTTCGGTCAAACCGTTGTCGTCTGTCAGTCATATAATGCAGGTTTTGGTGGTCCACCCTGGGTTCACCTCAAAGAGCATGCACAGAGAAGTCCAAATTAAACATGATTTAATGACTCGTAAATGTAAGTACACATTGATGGCCTAAGACAGTGTTTCCCAACCCTGTTCCTGCGGCACACCAACACTGCGTGTATTCTTTGTCTCCCTTATCAAACACACCTGATTCAACCCATCAGCTCATAATCAGGTGGGTTAATGAGCTGATGGGTTGAATCGGGTGTGTTTGATTAGGGAGACAAAGAATACACGCAGTGTTGGTGTGCCGCCAGGAACAGGGTTGGGAAACACTGGCCTAAGACACGAAACGGGCGGTTTGTGTGAGAAAACGAACAGTATTTATATGGTTTTTACCTCGTGTAACCACAGCCATGTCCAACTGATCTGAAAGCACGGGCGCTTCGGTCTGCACATGCGCCGGAAGTGATCACTTACGTGTGTACGTCACAGATTTCGGAAGATTTACCTTTCACTGTGAAGATCTAAACATATTTAGATATATTGGAAATCGCAATGGAAGACGATTTTGATATATCTAAATATGTTTTTTTTTTATAACTTAACAAGAACGCGTGTCATTTTTCCCAGTTCTTTTCAAAGACATTCTCTTTGACTCTCAAAAGGTATGTCAATTTTTCCATCTCAAAGATTTCCTGGACAATTTCCAACCACTGTTCCTGTTTCGGGATATTAATATTGAGCCAATTTCTTGTGACCGCTTTCTTACTGGATGCAAGTAATATTTTAGTCAAATACAGATCTTCTTTCCTTACGACCTCCTCAATATTCCCTAGGTACATCACTAGACAAGTGTTTGGGATTTCATATCCCAAAACATTTTTAACAACTAGGTCAGACTGATCTCATGAAGTAGCGTGTGTATGACACGCCAATTCGTATTTCCATTTTTGGCGTGCTATCAAGACGCATAATCGCCTTTCAGCGTGTTTATGAACGCCGTTGACTTAACGTTATATAAATATATGATTTACCTGAACCCCGTCCCTAAACCTAACCATCACTGGGGTTAATGGCATTTATGACTGTTCCCTTACCATCCTAGGAAAGAAAAAGATATGACTTACCTCAACCCCATCCCTAAACTTAACCGTCACTGGGGTTAATGGCATTTATGACTGGGGATTTGACTGCGTGTTCGGACACGCGGAATGACGCGGACGTTAATGGCGTAGACATATACGCATACACGCGGATACACGCGGATAGCTCAAAATGCGTAGAGATAACACGCCACCTGGCGCGAAAGTGGCGTATATGTTTACGCAAAAGTCATGATGTCATGTTGACTAGGTTAACATTTTGCCAGTATGTCCCGACAGTTCCAGAAGATGTGTGCATGGTCTGATTCCACATTCCCGCACAATCTCCAGAGTTGCCTCGATTATATTTTCGGTGTTATGAAATAACGAACCAAGTTTTTCCAGCAGAACTTATCTAAACATGTTTAGTGAAAGTATAGATGAGCTCTTAAAATGAGCCTAGTGTCCCCTGTTGTGGACAAGGCCTGAAAGGTTGAGAAGCACTGACATAAGATTAATCTGAAGCATCTGATCTTTTCTTTTCATTCCCAAGGACCTGGATTATCAGAACAGGCTGTTTATGATCAATGGAAAGAAGCCCGAATGTGTAATATGAGTGTGTGCTGAAGAGAGACACTGTTGGACATTGCCTGTTGTGATCTAATCTGATGTAATCTGAAGTGATGGTGTTGTCGGATAACGCAGTGATCGGCCGAGGCCTGAACAGTCCTGACCCGCTGGTGCGCGAGGCCTATTTGATGGCGTATGACTACATCAACTATGTGACGGTGAAACCCGGCGTCTCGTTGGGTTCGGCCCCGTCCGAAGCCTCGGCCGCGCTGAGACACGCCGGAGACGAGCTCCTCAATCGCTTCCCAATCTTCTTTCGGCGCTGGCCTCGTGTTTTCCAGGACGTTTCGGAGCGGACGGCCTGCGCGACCCTGGTGTCGATCCTGGACGAGCACTTCGCCCCCTCTCGGCGCCGAGAGCTGGCCTGGAGCGCGGTGCTGTCCGTGTTCGTGCTGGCCGGACAACTGGCTCTACACTGCCAGGAGAGGGGCATGTCTGCGGTCCTGCCCCAGATCCAGGAGTGTGTGGGCAGTTACGTAGAGAGAGTCGTCTGCCCCGAGATCAGGGACCGAGGAGGATGGGTAAGTGTCGAGGGGCACAGATCTGTTCTTCTGGTTAAAGGTGCTGTGTGTCACTTTTGATAAAAATACCAGGTAACAACACTTTATTTTACAGTGTCCTTGTAACAAATGTTAGACATACGTACTATAGTAATAACAGTAAATTATGCATAATTACATGCAACCTACCCTAGCCAAATCCTAATCCTACCCTAACCCTATAGATCAATTTTCAATTGGTAAACATGGTGACGTTTTTGTGGGCGGAGCTTAGGTGGAGGCAGAACAATCTCTCTGGCCGCTTCCCTGCATCCATTTTTTTAGTTTTTTTTTAACAATGACTGGAGAAAATCAGATTTTATATTCAACAGGATGAAAATATAGGCATACCATCAGGCCCAGGTGGAGAAGCACAACTTCTCTGCTAGGCACCAGGGAATGTCTACAAGAAGCAAATGAAAAACAATTAAACATAACCACTGAGTCTTCTGAAAATTATGTTAATATGAGCAGTTATTGCTAACATTTCTGGTTCTAGCTGCTAGCAGAAACATCCATTTTGGCGTCATTATGTTCAGACCCTCAGCAAGCAGTAGATTTCTCCTCGTTGCAGTTCATTGAATACCACATTACATTGTGTTTCTATCATCTGGCTTTGCTTACATCATGTTTTCTCTGATCTGGTGAAGAGGGGTTTGGGCTACCCTGGTCTTCAGCTGCCTGCTGGTTGATTCTGTCCTCTGACCTCCCCTTGCTTAAACCATCACTTTTAGTAGTATCATCATAGATATCTATGAGTATCATGGGTTAATCTTGTAAAAACAAAAAAAACAAAAAACTCTGAATAGCTCCCTGTGTCTGTCCCTTTTTTTCATGCTCACTATATCTGCCAAACACGATAGTTAACATTATCACAAAGGTATAATTACATACAAGGCTGTTAGTGAATGCATAAACTCTCTAAAAACTCTATAACCTTTGCTAGCGCTATCTTTAACAAGTCTTCCACAATTAAGTTAACAAACCTAAAATAAGTAAGAGCAGCAGCTAAAATATACTTTCATATTTTAATGACAACCAACACAAGGATTTGTGACTCACCAAAAGTTGTCTCTAAATTGGATTACTGTTTGATGGATTATGTCTCCCGTGTACAGGCAACATCACCAACGATGTTCTGGTAGTCAAAAGTTCATCAATTTTGCGCATTAGTTTCAAGCACTGCTTCTTCTCCCAAATTACATTGGCACATAACTACCGCAGTGCCGCCAATTGTTTCGGGGTGGAATTGCATCTGTGATCGTTGTGGAAAAATTCTCCGGTTGCTCTTCTCGTCGACGATTGATGGAAGGGGGGCCAATCAGGGGCCAATCAGATTTCAGCAGGGGCCATGTGGCCCCGCCTCTAGAACGGCCCCTGCCTGGCCCACTATCCCTCTCCCTGGTCCTCCACCGTTCCACCTCCCTCCTGGACTCTTGTATTCTTTTGTGTGGTGTCTTGTATTTTTGTGGTTGGAATTTTAAAAAGTTGCAAATTCCTTTACGCATAGCAAACAAAAATTACACATAGAAAACCTAAAAATGCTCAAAATTCAAACTAAAAATGTTAATGAGCATAAATCTTGATTTCACATATCGTTTGCATTCTGAAATTCTTTACACAACACAAGTACATGTTGCATTACAGACACCTGGACCAACTTTTGTTGTTACATTGTACTTACCCTGACTGAAAGATTTGCAAAAAATATACCTTATTTATTTACTTACCCACACACAAGAGCATTGGGGCAGTACCCAAAAGATAACTTTGGGCCTTATCTGGCCCTAAAATGTGTGTATTAATACATTAGCAGGGGCGTAGAATTTAGTAGGGACGTGTCCCTACCAATATCCAGTGACACTGATTTATCCCTAGCAATAATTTCAATCAAAACTTAAAATATATTTATTTACTGATGTCCCCGTCCCCACCAATTTCTAAATCAAAACTATGCCACTAGTAAATATGTACCCTTCAGATCCTCTCCAAGCGATTGGATGGATTCGAGGAGATCTGTAGTTGACATTTAAAAACAAAACTATTTTATAATGTCTACAAGATGTGTATCTGAAAACTGATTATAGAACCCGAAAATAGCACATTTGCCTCATATAGAGCTATAAGGCCATCTAGTGGCAAGACTCATAAAATATCATGTTATATAATTTTTTCCACACAAGAGGTCAGCAGAGACAATAGACAGTAAAAGAAAGGGCAGAGACACCCAATGTGGGACTTTTTGTGTTTAAAAAAAAAAGTTTCTGCACGTATTGGAGTTATTTTGTATCATTGATAAGATGTGAAGTTGAAAGATGTAAAGAATGTGCTTAAATTATATTAAAAGGGCACCTATTATGCCCCTTTTTACAAGATGTAATATTGGTCTCTGGTGTCCCTAGAATGTATTTGTGAAGTTTCAGCTCAAAGTTAATTCATTATAACCATTTGAAAATGTCATTTTGGGGCTTTAAAATGATCTGTTTCGGGGGTATACGGCTTTAAATGCAAATGAGCTGCATATCCCCGCCCTGCCTTTGGATGAGGGCGTAACTTGATACCTATGGCCGTCGGTAAGCAGAAGGGCTAAGAGAGTGAGAGACGCGCTGTTTTGAATGTCATTCAGCCGTACGTTTGAATCGGAATAAATAGTACGAAGAGACTCCGGCAGAATAAACACAAATGAGAATGGACCAGTATGTCTCGGTATGGTTATTTGATACATTTATGTACTTATAGAGTTGTTGTAATCGCGTCCCATTTGCAATTATGGATGTGGAAAACACACACACACAAACACTAATGCTAGCGCAATTTTTCTGAAATTACATAACGTTACACATACTGTGAAGTTTGCTACTACAAGCGAAATTACATTTATGCGAGGGACCTGTGGCGTCATGTTTACTTGTCATACGGGTGCTTCTGTGGCAAATGTGAGGAGATGGCTAACTTACAGAACAACAACATATATCCAGTTTTTAATACAATATCTTTAAATATATATATAAACGTGTGGTTGCACACTATACAAACAAGGTTTAAATTATATAACGTTAGCCTACACAGACATCCTACGACGACAACAACTTTAGACGCATTTGTTGTTGAATTGGCTGACATTGACTGAAAAGACTATTTGCTCAAAAATCATAAAATACACTTACTGTTACTGGAGGTGACGGTGGATCAGTAGATGACGATCCACACTTGAGGATTAACTTTTAAGCCACAACAACAGGATTAACCCACGAGTCCACGACAGAACATTTGTTTCCAAGAGACATTACCGGCTGTCGTCGTTGAAAAAATGGAGGATGTACAGATCACCGAGGGCGGGGTCTATGCCACAACCACACTGTCAATCAAACCCCTTTCTACGTCACAAAGAGCTGAATCTCAGAACAGCTCGTTCTGAGGCAGTGCATATGATTTATTGAGATTGTAAAAATATTTTTTATCATTCTAGGGTGGTTTTGCTCCCACACTGCCAACACACATTTATGTTCAAACACCATGCAAAAGTGAATTTTCCATAATAGGTGCCCTTTAAATTATTGATAAAATCTAGTAATTTAGACAGGGAGGGGAGAGGGGGAGGCAATGTTAATATGGCAGCTTTAGGAGCAAATTGCATCACTGGTAACTGGCCTTTTCCCTCTAGGACTAATATACTAATGCTATGATTTGAGCAAAACAAGCATGATTTATAGTCAGACATTCATGGTTTTTCATGCTTCGTGGGACATATTTTATGATCATATTTATATTTATTTATTATCACTACCATATTTGAGTAACTGAAAATTATTTTTTAGAAAATATGTAGTGCTGTTGTAAACTGCACTTAAAAAACAACATTTTATTCACCTTATGTGGGAGCAGCCATTTTTAACTTAAATGTAAACGTGCAAGGCTTCCGGTGTTATTTTAACCTTGTGTTGTAAACTGATATTTGTTATATGATTTATTATTATTATTTATTAAATTCATAAATCATTCAGCAAATATTTTTCCCGTTTACTGCAGTTGTCTTTTATTGTTTTGTTATTGTTAATAATATTTTTATTACATATCTAACTTTGTGTTTTGCTCTCAGTCAGGTTTTATCACTCGTTTTGGCGAGAAGCAGAATCTTGAAGACCAGGTGAAGCGGGCTTGCTGCTGGTCTCTGCTCTTGCTGTGTTTTGGGATCTTATCCTACTTTGTATGGACGAAAAGGAAAACTTAGACAACAGCGCCATCTGCTGACAAATTGTAATAAAGACACTCGTGATTCGCTTGATTGTGGTAAGAATAGGTTTGTGTACATAGATGCCGCCCCACTCCTGACACGTCAGCGCGCCCGCCATCTTGCAACAGTCCGCGTGTCGTCACTCACTGTAATCAATGATTCAACAACAAGCTCAAATCATCTGCTGAAGTCTATTTCATAAATATATACTCGTCTAAGGCAGGGGTTCTCAAACTCGGTCCTGGAGGGCCACTGTCCTGCAGTTTAACCCCAACCCTGATCAAACACACCTACCTTTGAGTTTCTAGTGATCCTGAAGACCTTGATTAGCTTGCGCAGGTGTGTTTGATCAGGGTTGGAGCTAAACTCTGCAGGACAGTGGCCCTCCAGGACCGAGTTTGAGAACCCCTGGTCTAAGGGTTGCAGACACTCAGTAAACTTGCTCTTGGACGTTCACAGACCGGATTTGACCGTTCCAATATGGCGGAAACGGCCGCTAATGAGGCATCAATGTATAATATACCTATGGTGGTAAGATCATGATAGCATAAATATAAGTATAAACATAAATTGTCATACAATGCTGTGTTATTAACTGTTAAGAATAAAACTTCCCTTTTTAATTCAGGTTCTAGTCAGCTAATTATAACAGCCCTAAGTACAATTGACTTAAAAGTTTTCATCATGTACAGCAAAAATAATTTCTCATAACCTCCCTTTGATATTAAAGGGTTTGCTCAATCTAAATGGAAAGATTTCTTCTTCATTTTCTTTTGTTTTACAGGATAAATTAAGTCATACAGGAAAAGTAAATTACTCTATATTCAACACTTCTGGTCACTACCTAATTACCAGCTGGGTTATTAGGTTTGATAACGTAACACTAATATCATGAACTAAGAAAAGTCATATATATTTTTCTGCATCCAAAAACAACTCTAAAATAATCTTTTCACTATTTTTTTTTTAAATGCATAAAAATGATAAAAGATTAAATATTAGTCAACAGAACCCTGTTGAATGGGCTTAACATTCCTCTAATCATGCATGAAGGATTATGAAACTCATGACTGGTAATGTAAATATACTTTGGCATGATATGTTAACTCAACCAGTGATGTCTGGAGGCAAACTCGACAGGTTTGACAAGGATCTGTGACCAGTAAAGAATGAAGATGGGTTCAGTTGAGTGCAAACTAAATAAAGAGGAAGACGTTCTAACAGAAGAAAAAGCCTTTTAATAAAATCTTAACATTGAAAAAAAGTTCAAAGCCGTCCTTAAGACAAGAACGGGTATCGTAATTCATGTATATGGATTTTCATGTACTCAGGGTTTTATACGTTAACGGTGCAGTTAAAGAGGAAGACATCTTAACAGAAGAAAATGACTTTTAATGACAACTGTACAAACAAGAGACAAGAACAAAATTGAATTTTTTTTCGCGAAATGATACAGCTTGGAAAAACGACACGTATATTAAGAGATCTAAGCCAGCTCTTCTTCTCCCTCCTCCTCAAACTCGCCCTCCTCTTCCGCGGTGGCGTCCTGATACTGCTGATACTCGGACACCAGGTCGTTCATGTTGCTCTCGGCCTCGGTGAACTCCATCTCATCCATGCCTTCTCCCGTGTACCAATGGAGGAAAGCTTTGCGCCGGAACATGGCGGTGAACTGCTCGGAAATGCGCTTGAAGAGCTCCTGGATGGCAGTGCTGTTCCCGATGAAGGTGGCGGCCATTTTGAGCCCGCGAGGCGGGATGTCGCAAACGGCGGTTTTGACGTTGTTTGGGATCCACTCGACGAAGTAGCTGCTGTTCTTGTTCTGAACGTTGAGCATCTGCTCGTCGACCTCCTTCATGGACATGCGGCCACGGAAGATGGCGGCGACCGTGAGGTAGCGTCCGTGGCGCGGGTCGCAAGCCGCCATCATGTTCTTGGCGTCGAACATTTGCTGAGTGAGCTCTGGTACGGTTAGGGAACGGTATTGTTGGCTCCCCCTGCTGGTGAGAGGAGCAAAGCCAGGCATGAAGAAGTGGAGACGAGGGAAAGGCACCATGTTTACGGCTAGCTTGCGCAGATCAGCGTTTAGCTGGCCGGGGAAACGCAGGCAAGTGGTGACGCCGCTCATAGTCGCGGACACGAGATGGTTCAGATCGCCGTACGACGGAGTGGTGAGTTTAAGTGTGCGGAAGCAGATGTCGTACAGCGCTTCGTTGTCGATACAATAGGTCTCGTCTGTGTTCTCAACCAGTTGATGCACAGAGAGTGTGGCGTTGTAGGGCTCCACCACGGTGTCAGACACTTTAGGCGAGGGAACCACGCTAAAGGTGTTCATGATGCGGTCGGGATACTCCTCGCGGATCTTGCTGATGAGGAGCGTTCCCATTCCGGAGCCGGTTCCTCCACCTAGAGAGTGTGTGAGCTGGAAGCCCTGTAGGCAATCACAGCTTTCGGCTTCTTTACGAACCACGTCCAGGACCGAGTCCACCAGCTCCGCCCCCTCCGTGTAGTGGCCTTTAGCCCAGTTGTTTCCAGCACCACTCTGACCTGTTGAAAAAGATTTAAAACATCCTTATTTTGAACAAATATGGAATTTTGTTTTAATAAATAAGTTATGTTGTCAAAGATATCAACACTGAAATATCGGAAACGGCTCTTTCTGCAGTATTGATGCACCATCTCTTCTCTATGACAGCGAATTGACACACACCCGCCTTCTGTCATCACTCATCTAATTCGTTCCGGTTGAATAGTGGATAATTTCACCACTTAATTTGCATGCACCACTGATCTATGGAGGTTGCACTCTCATAAAGCCATAAGAACCAAATTGACTTTTCAAAACGATCAAATGCATGCAAAAACGTCGACGTGCCCGTCTTGCAGAGTATTTAGGTGAACAACCAGTTTTGGAACGTAAATAGTTGATAAAACGCAAGTTGTGTAACAGTAACACCTGCTGCTGTCATGATTACTTGTTAATTAAACATGCAATCATGTTAAAGAACAAAAGACAGAGAATATCAGTCGCTAATCTGGTTTTGTAATTAATTGTAAGCATTAATCTGTTTTTTTTTTTTTTTTTAAATGAAACCTATACAGTGTACATTTGATTACTTTAGTATTCAGTTAAGAAAGGCTACACAAATTAGTGTTAGGAAACCTGAAAAACTTAAAGCCATGTTTATTTCATTTGTCTCTTTATTCATGTGTATTTATTTGTGCTACCATTTGCAATTTGTTTATTTATTCTCACTTTATTATTGACTTTTTTTTTTTCTTCTTCTTCTTTTGGGTGGGTAAATTTAGTTCAATGATTCAAATAAAGCCTCCCTGTTAGGTGTGTAAGAACTATTACAACAAAATTGCCCAAATTTTCAACAAAACCACCGTGGTATTGAGAAATGGTATGAAATATAGATTTTTTTTCCTCAAGGGATCATACCGAATTTGGAAATTCGAGCATAGCGACAACACCATCAATAACAATACCCACCGAAAACAAAGTTGTCTGGCCTGAAGACCTGGCCGAAGGGTCCGGACCTCACAGAGTCCATGGTTCCAGGCTCCAAATCCACCAACACAGCACGGGGCACGTATTTGCCTCCTAAAACATGATAAAACACAGGGTTTATATGGTTTCCATATAAAAAAAAAATCCTAATGTGCACTCACTTATTAGTATTGATATGTGGACGTACCCGATGCCTCATTGTAATAGACATTGATCCTGTCGAGCTGGAGGTCACTGTCACCATGATATGTGCCGGTGGGATCAATACCATGCTCATCACTGATAACCTCCCAGAACTAGAGGATATAATACACATTATTAGTTACTTGAGTAGATTGTGCTTAATGCTGTAGGCAACAAATCAACAACAATATCATCAGTAATCCAGATTTAAAATCAAAAATGTATTTGTTCAGATTGTGGACTGAAAATGACTATTCAGTGTGGCACCATGACAGCTATGAAGGATAGACTTAATGAGTTATTTCAATGTTATCTGCTGTAAAAAAAAATTGTATAAAGCTCCTAAATCACTTTTTTGTTTACTTAAATTTCTTGGAAAAATATTTGTATTGTTTCATAAGCAGAACACCAAAAATAATTATATAATAGTAGGTATAACCCACTGAAGTGTCCATGTCTATCCCTCACAGCCTTGATTTAAAAATCAAAGGTTTTGATTTTATATGAATAATGTCTTCATTTCTTTAAAACTATGTCACCCTTTTCAAATATTCACCGAGTGGGCTTAACAAAAGGAGCCAACTGTTCACAAACTCCCACTCATATTTCACATTAACATGCTTTTAGGCATCATACGTTATATACATTAACTTTTGTACAAAACGGTACAAAATCGTTACTTATAATGCGCTTTTATATATTTTAATTTCGGTTTTAATTTAGTATAACGTCAATAACAAATGAGCTTTTTTGAATTCCTCCCGCGCAAAACTCGCGCGCGCGCCACGCGCACCGGTTGGCTGAAATCCATTTCCGGCGCGCTCATACCCTAATCGATTTATAGGGCGTCTACATTTCTGAAATAAATAAATATTCATCCAAATTAACAGGCCGGTGCTATAAGATGTTCGTTTTTGTAATATTTTGTTCGATTATTTCCTTAAATCTGGGATATGGCTATATTTAGACTGCGCTTACACGTTCACTTCCTTTTGTCGCACTGCAGTGAATCTCACAAAGGGAAGCTCCCAGACAGACGCCGGCGAGACGAACAATTGACATGGGAAAAATATATATTTCTATACATTTTGGCCAACTGCTAAAATACACAATCTTTGAAAACATTTTAATCGTTTCAATCTAACCAAATAAACCCGAACGAGGAAGCACATGTATGACCTAGATTTCATTCAAACGAGATTAGAAATATTTTGGACTGTGAAAAATCCAAAACATTAGAGAAAATATTAACGATTCGATTTTTTTTAAATATTTCATTACACATTCTACTCTATAAACACTAATACCAAATATTAAACCAACAACAACTGCACGTTTCGATTAAAAAAATA